TTTAATATCATACTATAAAACATATATATATTTTATTATATTATATTATATTTTACTCCTAGTGGTCACAAATCTTTAATTAAATCATTATTCATTGCCACTTTTGCAATGGAAAAAGATAGAAAATTAACATATATCTATATAGCTATTAACCACGCGTAATCTTTCTTTGACATGTAAAACAAAAGCAATAATAATATTTCCGTATCTCTATAGTATATTTTCTAACTTTAGATATATCATAACATTTAATGAAATTCTTCGTAATACTAATCGCAAATTATCACTCAAAATTTTTTCTCTCTATATTCATTAAGAAAAAAGAGTGCCTAATGATCCCAATTATTGATGGATACATGACATAGATTGGCGTTAAAATCTCACTCGGACGAGAGCAGTGAAAATGTACATTTACGGATGTATGTTTATTTGACAGACTGATTTGCCTGCTTGAGTTATGCCTAGTCTCATGGTTAGTTGTAAATTATTATACGGTTACAACAGGATCGTTGGTCTTTAATTTTCGTTTTACTCTAATTTCCGTCAGGAATTGACAGATTTTACGATTGGTTCGTAAAATCAGTTATATTTTTATGAGGATTTTATATTTTATATTACTAAATCTTTCATCGGTGTCAATATTATATTGATAATTATTATGATCGAAATAAAATTCATAGTAGATTGCGAATTTTTAGTATTTTGTCTTTTTTATATTCCATATATTTTATATATATAAACGATATAAATGAATGTACTATAAGTATATTTCTTTTTTTTATATTAATTTTATTTATATAATATTCGAATATTATAAACAAACTTAATCATATTCTAAAATTTTTCGTTATAATATTAAAAGTTGAAAAAATTCTAAATAATTTATATATTATATAAAAATATTAGAAAAATATTCAACATATTGATTTTGGACCAATAAAAATATTATATGACGTTTGTGAAATAATTTCTTTTTCAACTCAATATTTTCAAATAAATTTATCATAAAATCATGAGAAAAGCTTTATATAATATTTTATATATTATATATTTATATAAGTAAATATAATAAAATTTTTTAAATTATTACAAATTGCTAAATTGCAAATACTATATAGTTTGACATATTTCAATATATATTTTTATATAATTAATAATTTATTTGAATATTTGAATTTATTTAGCTGCAGTATAATTTTAAAAATTTGCAGTCTATAATTAGTTATTTATAGTATTATTTGAATAAAATTTTAAATAAAGACAATGAAGACTCCGAATAAATAAATGATTTAGAGATAAAAATTCTATAATTGAATCAATCAGTCAAAGAAAATAAGAAGATCATCTATATCTATTTTATATCTATTTTTATATCTATTTTATAAAATTCTAATTAATTGTAATAATAAATTGTTATTATAAAAAAAATAATTATTTTGTTTTATATGAAATTTTATAAATAAATATAGTATATAATATATAAGTATATAATATATAGTATATAATATATAAAGCAATTATTTATTAATGGATTATTTTCGAAAAGATAAAATCAATTTTTAAAATCTCAATATTTTTTTTATGATTTATAATTTTTTTTTATTTTTTTAAAAAATTTTATAATAGTATGATATAAATTAATTAAATAATGAAATCTTCAAGCATAAAATCTTCGTTATTTTTATTATATTTATTATTTTATTATAATATTACTTTATTATTTTATTATAATATTTACAGACGAAATTAAAAAAATACTTAAAAGAATAATGAAAATGAAAATTGATTTTATATAAGAAATTGAAAAAAAAATTACTATACGTATAATCTATTATGTTTTATGTAAATTTTATTAAAATTATGATTTTTGTCTTATAAAATTTGTTAAATTAATTAATTTAAATTTAATGATAATTTAAATTTAATTAATAAGATTTTTTTACTTTTGACAAATATCTTCATACTAATTAAATGATTAAATCTAAATTGAACTTCTTAATATTTAACTTAATTTCATTTTTAATAGATGATTTTTATTAGATTTTCTTGAATAGAAGATGATCTTCTAATGCCCATTTAAAATCAATATAAAAATCTTTTTTCATTTAAATTTTAATTCAAACTTAAAAAAAATGAACTGAGTAAATTATTTTTTACTTTATTTATCAAATTGTTTCTTCAAATTTATAAATAAAATTATATAAGTTTTATATTTGTAATTTTACATTACAATAATATAAATGAATATTTCACTTTTGAAATAAAAGATTCTAATATGCCATCGAAGATAAATAGTATTAATAGATAAAAATACTTATAATAATAATTATAATAATATATAATATATAACTATAATAATAATAATTATAATGAAATTAGACATTTTATATATAAAATATATTAAATATATTAAATAAATAATTTTTATAAATATAAATAAATAATATATTAAATTAATAATTTTTAATAAAATTATAAATAATTTTATTAAAAAATTAAAATTAAGAAAAGATCTAATTAATTAAATCTATCTAAATAATTTATTGAGAAAGAATGTTCCATAAAAAGATAAATCTTTTTTTCTTTTTCGAAAAGAAAAAGATCTTCTTGTTGTTTTTTCAGTAAATAATTTTCAGTAAATAATTTTTCACTTTTAACTTCTACTTCCTACTTTACATCTTCATCTTTAAATAACATACAAAAAGCAAGATTATTCATTTCTCATTTTAATTTTTTAAAGAAAAGCTAATATAAGAATGAATAACAAAAAAAGCATCGTTCTTGTTTTAAAGTCATCCACTTATGGTAGTAGCTATTGACAATTGATGACTGGATCGTTGTCGATCAAGTTTTGACCAAAAACAAGATTAGTAAAAATCTACGTTCTTTGCTCAAAAGTTTGTTTCGTTTTGATTAGAAATACCAGTATAGAATAAACGCGTTTTTTTCCGCATTTAAGTTTCCTTTTGCATTTTTTTCCGACGTTGCATCGGCGCCTTTTATATCTTCCGTTTATAACTATCGACGCTTATAAACACGACTATTTTAGTCTGAACCGTATTCGTGGATCAAACATGAAGAGCATAATTTTTCCTCGTTCATTGACTATCTTTTTCTTTTTCTTTGCTTCTGCCAAAGAGTTAGGTCCTTTGTCATATTCATTGTGAAAGATACGATGAATGATTTGCTCGCTGGATAAACTCGAAGAGTTTTGCAATAGGTTAGATTTTTTATTTAATACGAGCTTTTTGTTTGTTCTAAAATTTATTGGAAGAAACAGAGCACTTTTCTTCTTGATAAAATAGTTGGTGATCGTATCTCTTACATTTCTCTTCGGAAAAAATTGATTTTGTTGAAGATTGAAGAAGTTGACGATTGATTACTATACTTTTCAGGTGATTAAAAATTAGTAATAAATATTGAAGATTGAAAAATTTATTTATTAATCGCAATAGTTCTCACTTGTGAAAAAAAATATTAAATTTTTTTCTACTTAATTACTGTTTGAAATTTTTGGCATTAAATTTGTTCAAAAAATTTAATTTTGATTTGATGTTATTATTGATCACTTTTATTAAAAGACTTTTATTTGTTTTAAATGATAGTAATAATTTTAAGTAATATCTTGGATTTTAGATTTTAAATTCTGAAAAGCTCATTATACGATTTTTTCAATTGATTCAATACATAAAATAATTTTTAAAATAATAATAATAATAATAATAATGATAATAATGATAATAATGATAATAATGATAATAATGAT